AGAGATTTGACCACTCTATCAAGATTTGAATTCAGAGAAGTCACTTCACTTTTCAGATTAGAAATAGTTTTCAAATGATATTTCCTTTCTGCCGTCAGCTGGGTTATGAGTGCTTTCTGTTTCTCCCCTTCTAGGCAAACTTCTGCACTTCTGAGACACAGTTCTTGAGGCATCTAGCTCATCAAAGGTTAGTTCACCATCACTAGAATCTACACCAGACACATATTTGTCTGTAAATGCTTTAACATGCTTTACAGATTCCTCTTCATACCAAGTAACAAATAGATTCTTCTTCTATTTCTTAAGATATGTAGGATATTAAGCTCTAATTTGACCAAAACCTTCACATCCATGACATTGTATTTCCTTCCCTTGAGTGGATTTTTCTTCAGCCATTTTTCTTCCAAACTCATTTGACTTAAGGATGTCAGATGAGATGTTCTTGATATTTGATCTTGGATTCCTATCCATCCTTTTTATAACTTTGTTAATCTTTCTTTCAAGCATAACTAAGGCGTTAGATATTCCTTCATATGTATCCATATCACAGTCCTCCTCTTCATCTTCAGTATTGGTTACAAAAGCTATGATTTTGTTCTTCTTTTCAGATATTTCATTGATGCTTAATTCAAATATCTGAAGTGATCCAACAAGTTCATCCACTTTCATCTTGTGAATGTCTTGTTCTTATTCTATGGAAGTCACTTTCATATCAAATCTCTTGGGAAGAGACCTAAGTATCTTTCTCACCAATTTGTCTTCTGGAATTTTTTCTCCTAAAGCACTGGCAGCATTAGCAATCTCAAGGATGTTCATATGGAAGTCATTAATGCTTTCGTCATCCTTCATTCTCAGATTTTCAAATCTGGTGGTGAGCAACTGAAGTCTTGACATTTTCACTTTGGATGTGCCTTCATGGGTAGATTGAAGAATCCCCCAGGAATCCTTAGCTACTTCACATGTGTTCACTAATCTAAAAATGTTCTTGTCACTTCTATTGAATATAGAATTCAAGGCTTTAGAATTTTCGAGAGCAGTTTCATCCTCTTCTTTAGACCAATCTTCTTCTGGATTTAACTCAGAAGTAGGATCTCCATTTTCTCCCAATTTGACAGGGTGTTTCCATCCTTTTAAGACAACTTTCCGAGCCTTGTTGTCTAGAGACTTTAGAAAGGCCACCATACGTGGTTTCCAATAGTCATAATTTCTTCCATCCATAATGGGTGGTCTGCTCACAAATCCTCTTTCCTTGTCCATAGTACCAGAAAGTATCTTCCCTAGATCTCACCCAGATATATAGCAGGATACCTGCTCTGATACTAATTGAAATTCTGGTATCAGATATGTGATGTCGAAGAAGATGTCACGACACAAATATCTGAGGACAATATAAAATGAAATAATATTAAAAGCAGTAAAAACACAGGGGATTGTTAACCTAGTTCGGTGCACAACAACACCTACTTTGGGGGCTACCAATCCTGGGACAAGTCCACTAAATAGTATCAATTCATAAATCCTTAGTAAACAATCAGTTTACGATCTAATCACTTAATCACTACCCGTGCTATACTTCCACCTAAGACACACCTAGGTATGAGGTCCTCCTCAAATCCTTTCAATCACTAACAGTGAAGAACAACATAAATATTAAGTTTTAAAGACTTCAATCATTCAATACTTAAAAGCTTGTGAATGATCCACAATTAACAACTCAAATTACAACTCAAGTATTAAACCAATACTTAGAGTGTATTACAATTAAAAGGACTTAGACATCTAAAATAGAAATAATATATTCTTCTTCAAAAGTTGCAGTCAAACAAATAAGGATACAAGTCCTTATAAAGGCGCAACAGTGGGCTTGGGCTGAAAAAACAAATATTTCAATCCCTTGAATTTTTCCATGAAAACAGGCCAAGATTTAATCCATAAGGATAATGCAAATAGAATAATATTCTTCTATATTTTTCACAAACTATGAGTCATAAATCCTGAATAATGGCGCGCATAAAAATAGGAAACAGAATATTAAGTCTCGTTCAGATCAGGAGGCAGGTGTCAAGACATCTGCTTTGACACCATTCAAAACCAGTTTGTTTCAAATGTCAAGATATTTAACAAAATATTATCAAGTCAGTGTTTTACCAAAATTGCTGCCAACAAACACTTATATATATATATATATATATATATATATAAAGAGATTTTCATCATCTTCATCTTCTCTCATTGCATACAAACAACAACCAAACATAATCATTTTTTTGTGTGATCCTTGGATAGTTTAATAAGATCCAATTAGGTTTGTTGTAATCAATTACGTTGGAAATTATTTGGGGGCTTCAAGATAAGTTTATTTGGGGTTTTCTTCCAAGATTAAGGTTGATTTGGGAGTTTCTCACAATATTTTACAAATTGGATTCAGCCGAGTGAAAGCTTTGAAGAAAGACATTTATGTCAAAGGAGTAACGGTAACCGGAGGATCATTTTGGTAATCTTAAGTCACAATAGTTCACAATTTGGATTCAGCCGAGTGAAATTTTTGAAGAACGAGGGTTCTGTCAAAGGAGTAACAGTATGTGGAGGATCAAATTGGAAGTATTGAGATACTTGATCGAGCTCAAGATCAAGGTAAGATAAGAAGATAGGATCATTAAAGATAGGGTTTGAAGGACTGTATTGCTACTTTTTCTATTGTAAACAATATTTGCAAAGGTTAATTTTCATTATCTCAATTCCATTGAAATTGGGGGGCAGACGTACCCATAGGGAGCCAATTAAGGAATTGCCTAAACAAATCTCTCTATCTCTCTCTCTCTCTCTCTCTCTCTCTCTCTCTCTCTCTCTCTCTCTCTCTCTCTCTCTCTCTTACTTTTACTTGCAAATTGTGAAATAATTGATTGTGCAATTGATACATTGAGATAAATATTTTTGTCTAATATTTCAAACTATTTTTTCCAGTTTATTTCAATCTATAAGATTGCAATTGAGTTTTCTTATCAACAAAATTAAATAAAAATCTAGTTTGAATTGATTGCACACCAGGTGTTCGACAAATTTCTTGAGTCAAATTTTGTTTGATATTTCATTATAAAACGATTATCATTGTGTGGTTTTACTCAAACATTGTATATGAAAATATATTGATAAATTCTCTCATCAATCGAATACATTCTATATGGTTTAACGCATATCCGATATTTTCGATAACGGTTCGGGATAAATGATTGACGATTTAGGATTGTTTTCGCTTGCCATAGTTAAATAATTTTAAAACAATTTTTAATCAAATCAAATTTTATTTACAATCTATTCACCCCCTCTAGATTGTAGTTTATCGTCTAACAGGTAAGGCCTGAATCAACTTTTCATACCATGCCATCTGAGCTTACTTGAGCCTAGGGGTGTTCGTGGTGCAGTTTGGACGGTTTTGAAGCGAAAAATCACCCGAAACGCAAGAGAAAAAACCATGCGATTTGGTTTGGTTCGGTTGACTTTTAAAAATAAATCCGAACCAAACCAAACCAAACTAATGCGGTTTGGATTGGTTCGGTTGGTTCGATTTTTTACAAAAAAAATTATTAAGCCATACATACACATATAAAGGAAAACATAATTTTGTGTTTAATTGTTCATACATTACCATAAAAAATTAATAATTGTCAAAATAAATTTATAATTTGATACATAAAATTGTTTATTATATTTTTATCTAAATCTAAAGAATGATATAAACAAGATTGCATTCTTAAATAAATATTATACAAAGAATACGATAAAATATATTGTGAAAATAGTATTTCTAAATGAATAATATTTTATTTTTTTTATGATTTTTAAATTAAAATAAATATCATACAAAGTATGATAAAATATACCCATAATACATGTTGATTTCTCTAAAGAATTAAGGAAATATACATTGGTTAATAAGATTTTATAACATAATATGATTTTGTTTTGTTTGGTTCGATTTGCAAAATATAAACCGTAAATCGAACCGAACTGCGTAGTTCCATTAGAAAATGACTCAAACACATCCGAACCAGATACAATTTTTTGTGATTTTAATTTTTTGTAATTTTTCTATTGAGTCGGCTTGATTTTGAATACCCCTATTTAAATCTACATAAAGATTTATTGAGTTTGTATACAGTGTGTTGTCTTGTGTCTTGTCCATGTCATTTAAGAAAGTATTGTTAATGTCTAATTTTTATTTTGGTTTCACCACTATAGAAAAGGTTTCATTTAAATCAAAACTATGTTGTTGATGATAACATGTAGCCAGCAACCTTGCCTTATATTTATTTATGCTTACGTAATGATTTTCCTTGATCCTTAACACCCATTTGCACCAACACTACAAGAAAAATGTCCTACACCAAAAACGACGTGTTTTACCTACGGATAAAAGATAGCCATCACTAAAATTAATTTTATTTATCATTTATTATATATATATATATATATATATATATATATATATATATATATATATATATATATATATATATATATATATATATATATATATATATATATATATATATATATATATATATATATATATATATATATATATATATATATATATATATATATATATATATATATATATATATATATATATATATATATATATATATATATATATATATATATATATATATATATATATTATGTTTATTATTATTATTATTCTATATGTTAACGTATTAAAAAATATCAACAAAAAAAAACACTGAACACTCTCGTTATCTCGATAGAACCCTAAATTCCTCTTCCTCATTTCCCTCTCTCACTTTCATATTAGTGATTCGTATTCAAAATTCTAAGATTTCCAATCGCCATTTCAATTTCTCTAATTCTTTCACTATTGACGTCGAATCGTTGATTTCAAGTTTTCTATTATTGGAGGAGATGGTGTCACAAACCCTAACCTCTCACCAACTCCGATTCTGATTCCAACACCTTGCAACAATACAAATGTCACGAACATGGTGTTTTCGACTTCGCCTTCTCTTTTCCTCATCTCGGCCTCCGACGAAAAAACTGTCTCGCAATGGGACGTTCTGACGGGGTCGCTAATCAAGACTCTTCACGACCATGGTAACTACGTTTTTTGTGTTAATTTCACTCCTTATTCGGATGTCATTTCTTCGGGATCATTCGATGAGGGTATTATGATGTGGGATGTTAGGTGTGGGGAATGTCTTAAGGCCATTCTGCACATTCTGATCCTATTAGCGTGATTGATTTTAATGGCGACGGGTCTCGGATTATTTCTTGTAGATATGGTGGTCTTTGCAAGCTTTGGGGTGTTTCTACTTGTCACTGTATGAAGACTCTCACTTATGATGAAGAGATTCCTCCTGTTTCATATGTCAAGTTTTAACCTAACTCAAAGATGATTCTTGTTGGTGCATTGGATGACTATTTAGCAATATTTCACTTCAACTATAGTATAGTTGATATGACATGACTCTAATTGAATAGAATGTTGCAGTCAAATATAGTTCACACGAGTCTAATTGAATAAAATGTTGCAGTCAAATATAGTTCATATGAGTCTAATTGAATAGAATGTTGTATTTAAAGATGTTGATGTTATACATGTTGGTTTCGTTAAACTGTTTGATAACTAGAGAAAAAAGTATCTTTCCCCAACTAATTTTCAGGTCCTCTTGCATTATAATGCATGATCAAATGATTAAGATTCCAAAGATCATTAACTGTATGTTTCCTCAAAAGATTCAAAAGTTCTTGTTCATTGTAGGCATTGTTAAATTATAATTCGATTGTGTCGAAACAATGTGTGTGTCGAAGGGAGATTGCCCAGTTGAAGAGCTTGTGGATCGAAGCAAGCTACACACATATTTGATTGGTTTTAGATTTAGATAGATTTGATTTAGATCTAAAATAGATAGATTTAATTTAATTTCAAAATAGGTATTTTGGGCTTTTATAATTTTGGGCTTTGACTTAGGGAGCAAGCAAACCTAAATCTATAAATAGAGGGAGTAACCCATAATTTTGTAATTAAGTTAATTCATTGTAATCACATAATTTGCAGTTGCAAGTGATTAATAAAGTTTTCCACAGTTTGTGGACAGAGAGAAACTCTGCAGAAAATAATTGTCTTCTTTCTTTTCTTTTCTTTTCTCATAATTCATTGCCATTGTATGGTGATAACAATCTTGTTCATCAAGATTGATAGAAATTCATCATAGATATTTGGTGGATTTCCAACATCTGGTATCAAGAGTTCGGTTAATCGATTCAAGGGAAGTATTGATCGAGAATGATTGAGGAATAAGAAGGATTCATGATGGCGAGTTATGGGAATGCAAATTATCCAGCAACTCTACCAATTCTGAAAGTAGACAACTATGAGAATTGGTGCAAATAGATGAAAGTTTTATTCAGGTGTCAAGGTCTTTGGGATCTTGTAAAGGATGGATTGGAAGCGCTTGGAGAAAATGCTTCAGAAGAAGAAAAGAAGAAACACACAGAATCTGAGAAGCTGAGTTATAAAACACTCTTTATAATTCATCAACGTTTGAGTCCGAAAATTTTTGAAAAAGTGAGTGATTCAGAATCTGCAAAAGAAGCTTGAGAGGTTCTTGAGAAGTATTTTGGTGGTGCAGAAAAGGTGAAAGAAAGGAGGTTACAAACTCACAAGAGAACGTATGAATTGCTTCAGATGGAAGATAGTGAGAGCATATCTGATTTCTTCACTAGGGTTACAAAACTAGTGAATCAAATCAAGGTATATGGAGAAACATTAACAACAAGAGATGTTATTTCGAAGATCTTGAGATCTTTGGCTCCTAAGTTTGACCACGTGGTGGCGGATATAGAAGAGGGGAAAGACTTGTCGAAATTGACAAAGGAAGAGCTTCAAGGGATGCTCGAATCTCATGAACAAAGAATGACTGAAAGAGCTGCAGGCAAGTCGAAGAGTGATGTGGCTTTGCAGGCACATTCAGCAAAAGAAACCAAAGGCAAAGGAAAGTGGTTCGACAGAGATAGAGGTTGCTATAACAAATCGACTGGTAGAGGAAACCAGAACGAAAGAAACATGTCGAATTAGAGAAGACCATACCAAGGCACCCAAAGAGGTGGTGTTAATAGATGAAGAGGTGGTGGTCAAAAACACGACAAGAGTCACATTTAATGTTACAATTGTCAGAAGTATGGTCACTATTCGAGTGATTGTCCAGAAAAGCGAAAGAATCAAGAAAGTGATGCAAAGTTTGCAAAACATGAAGAAGAAGAAGAAGAGATGATGTTGATGGTCACAACAAGAGATGAAGATGGATTCAAGGACCAATGATACTTGGATTCAGGATATTCATCACATATGTCTGGAAGGAAAGACTGGTTTATCAACATAAAGCCCTAAATGAAAAATATGGTAAAATTTGCAAATGACAATACCCTAGCAGCTGAAGATATTGGTGATGTTATGATTATGATCAAAGATGGCTAGAGGTCAGTAATTTCCAATGTGTTATACATACCAGGCATGAATAGAAATTTTCTCAGTATAGGGCAGTTGCTCGAAAAGAATTATAGTGTTGATAAAAGATAAGATGATGAGAGTCGTCGACGCAAATGGAAGATTAATCTTGAAGGCTCATATGTCTCAGAATAGAACCTTCAAGATCGAACTAAATGTGATGGAGAACAAGTGCCTTTCGACTGCAGCTAGCAGAGATGAATGGATATGGCATTATCAACTAGGCCATCTCAACTTCAGAGACATCAGAGATTTGAAGAGAAGAAATATGGTTTCAGGATTGCTAGAAATCGACATTCCAAACAAGGTATGTGAGTAATGTGTGCATGCGAAGCATCACAAGAATAGCTTCAGCAAGGATGTAGGAAGCAGATCGAAGGTTATTCTTGAAGTCATATACTCTGATGTATGTGGACCAATCCAGGTGGATTCGATAGGAGGTACCAAATACTTTGTTATATTCATAGATGATTTTAGTCGAAAGCTGTGGAGTTACCTGATCAAGAAGAAAAGTGAAGTGATCAAGGTATTTTCCAAGTTTAAGTCTATGATAGAAAGACAAAGTGGTCGAAAACTCAAAGTTTTGAGAACTAATGGTGGTGGAGAGTATGTGTCAAAAGACTTAACACAAACAATGTAGAGCATCAAATCACGATTCCAAATATGTAAAAAACTTAACCTAACTCTAAGAAACCAGGGAGAATTTCTTCACCCCCAATTTCTGACCTAATTTTTCTTCAATGTTCATGGTTAAAATTCTCACAACATACTTAATATAAATGAAAAGTAATCATATGTATGGCTTCAGGGCTATGAGTAGAGTATGTTTCATTCACAAACCTAAGCCTAACTCTTCCTAGATTAAGAGATAGCATGATTTTACCTGTTTCAGCTTGACTTGAACAGAGCAATGTAGCAACCTTCAATGGAGTTTGAGCTTTGGTTGAGCTTGCCTGAAGTCCAAGGATGCTTCCCAAATGCCTAGCTTGCTTTGGAACCAACTGTATCGTGCTATGGAAGCCCACCTACACAGCTTGAAAGTAAAAATGGCAAATGTGGTTAGGGGTGTTACAGGTTGAGTTCAAGGTTTGGGATAGTCTCAGTGGATCATATGGAAGGTGTTTGAAAGGTTTTTAGCCAAAGTGCACGAGTGGATTGAGTTGTGGACCTCAATCTGCAACAGGTACCCTGTTTTGCAGCAAAACTGTGATTTGGTGAATGGGAAGGTATGAGGGATGGAAGGGTCGTGCCTTAGGTCAGTTTTGATGTATGGAATATGAGAACAAAGTTTGCTTAAGCTCCAGTTTGCAGGAAGTGAGAGTTGTTTATGTTTTGCAAAGTTTCTTCTACTTGAAGCAAGAAAGTGCAAGTTGACATATAGGCCTGTACAATGCCCTAAAGTATGCTGCAACTTTGGCTCTTGATAACTGGAATTTGTCTACAAAACTTTGCCTCAAAGATCTGGCTTGTACTTCAAAGACTTAGAACTTGACATAAAGCATCACTTTTCCAAAATGGCAAGTTTGCTTTTTCTAATTAAGGAATAATTTAGCATGTATTGCCCAAATGAGTGAAATAATGTCTTAACACAATGGTTAGGCATTAAATTAAGGAGTGCAAACTTGTTTTAGAGGCCTGCAAGCAAGTACCAAGCATGCTGGTTTGAAAATGAAACTTGTATGAACATGTATTTGGTTATGAACAAAAGTGAGTTTTGGCCAACTTTGCAAATTCGATTCTCTCTAACCACAAGGGTGTTTGATAAGTTCTTGGACAATTTGGAAAGCTTGGAATGTGTACTGAAATCCATCTTTGTAATGCAAATTGAAACTCCAAGTGGAACCATTTTGAAAACATTTTTTAAAATATACATTTTTTTTGTAAATAATTAATATTTTATTTTTGGTACATATTTAGCATATTAAATATATATAATATATACTTATACATATTTATTAAATATTTAGGGCAAAAATACAAAAAATATGCATTTTATTTTTATTTAATATTTGGCATCAAAAATACTTTTTTCACCATATACTTTTTATTTTGTGCATAAATTAACATATATTGTACACAATTAATAAATATTACTATTTATTTAAAAACTAGGTTTTTGCCCTAAATGACAAAAATATTCAAATTTGACCCTTTTTATTTTTGTTTATATTTCACATTGAAAAATACTTTTACATACATGAAAAATCTTTTTTTAGCATAATGCATTTTTATTTGATATTTATTTATTTGTACTTATTTAAATATTAGATATTTGTCTTGTATATTCAATATGGATGTAATAGCTTAGAATTTAATTTCTTGTCAAATATCCCCAAATTCAAACTTGTACCCCCCTCCCATAATCATTGTTGTAATAGCTTAGCATTTAAATTTCCGCATTTAAAAGCTTTCAAGTATGCCATGTTTAGACTTAGAGTTTGTATTCAAAATCAATCAACAAATAGCTTGACCTAATCCAAGATAAACATGCATGAAAAAACAAACACAATTCACACTTGCACCCCTAGGGTTACTCCACTTGTTGCCTTCAAAAATGGGCCATGTTTGCATGTCAAGTACTTTGGCAAAACAAAACAAAAACAAACAAAACGATCATAGTCCCTCGATGACGCTATCAAGTTGCCTAAACAAAAATGATCATAGTCCCTCAAGAAAATTGCCAAGATACTTGACACTATTGCATTCATGGTCTAAACGATGACCCGCGCCCGTCCCATTAACATCCTAACACAAGGTTGTTCACCAAATACAATGGTGAAACACTGTTAAAAGGGTTAAAACATGAGAAAGATCTTTGAGAAATTTAGGGTAGATAGCTCTTGGTTACTTGACCAAACTTGCAAAACAATCCT